GCAAAAAAGAGAGAAGCTCTTCGGGTTGTTGTTGTTGTTGTTTTTACCCCTTTCAACTTGTAACTCCCCTTTTCAGTTTGTAACTGCAACTGGTTTTTATGCCGGCCTGCACTCTCTCGAAATCGAAAAAAGGCTTACAGCAAATGTAAACCCACAAAAAAAAATATTTACAGAAAAAGGAAACGTGTTCGTTGAACAAACTTTGTTTAGTGCCAGCTCCAGGGCGGAGGTGGTACCAAATATACCGAAAAAATTATAGGGCCGCAAAGAGCCAAGATTAGTTGTTGTTCAGATGCACTTGGCATAGGTTGTAATCGCAGCTCAGCTCAAGATTCGATAGATACATAAAGACTTTTAGTTTGGCAGAATTTTCTTTGATTGATCTGGCTATGGATATAACTCAGGGCTATAGAAATTGATAACTAAGCGATCTATGAATATATATTCATGATTATAAGATCTCGAGCAATATATTTAAATTGATTTGCATCAATACCTATAAATAGTCATTTAGCAATTCAAAATCCACTCGTACGCGTAGGAAAAAACAGAAACTTTTGTTGTGTAAACTTGTCGTAAATTTCTTAAAATTATTTCTGGCCATAGCCGTTTAATCAACATTTAATATTTCATTGTACAAAAAAAAAAGCTTTAAACTTTTGCATGCTGCCAGGTCAGATAAAATTGGGCAGCACAAGCTGTCCTAGAAAAATGCTGTGCCCATTTAATGCAAATGCAGCTGAAGATTCGGTATATACAAAAAAATCGTGAATTATAAACTGCAGCAAAAATATGAAACCAAAGATAGCCCCACAGCCGCAACAGCAGCTGGAACGACCATGACAGTCGCGCCGCTGCCGCGACCTGCTGGTGGGCCGGCGCACACAGTCAGCTTGGTGGCATTGTCTTGGCCAGCCGCCGCCACAGTTGCCGCCGCCGCAGCCGGGTTGCAGTTGCACTTGGCGCTGTTCTTTGGTGCAGCCGCCTTTTGGCCAATGCCATGTTGCACAGGCAGGCTGCGTGTTGTGTGTGCGATATATTAAAAAGACGGAAGAACAAAACACAGAAAAAAATGAGAAAAACATTTTTAACAAGTTGTGTGCATTGTTGCGCTGCATGTTGTACAATAGTTGTACATGGCATTTGCATATATCCAGTTGACCTGATTCCTACTGCTGCGTTTTAGCTTAAAAGTTTTCATATTTTTGTGTTTGGTTTTTGCAACGAAGCTTTCGTTTTTTTTTTTTTTTCCATATTGCAACATACGATTTTTTTGTGAATATTCATGGCCTGCGCATACTAATAGTTATGGGAAATTGAGTTTTAGTTGAAAATGTAATTTAAAAATGCAGTTGCTGACAGTGCCGCAAATTAGAAGCTAACCCAATCAAAGGCGACGAGACCGAATGACAGATATATCGAGTGAGCAAGATAGAGAGAGGGAGAGAGTGAGAGACCTAAACAAACATTGTGGAAAGTGTCAACAATTCTGAATATGTTCAGACTAAGCATTTGGGCAAATATTTTTGATAAACTGATTTGAAGACACGTTTGGGGTGCTGCTAATTTTCTATGACTAAGTAAAGAAACAACAATAACAACAATATGTAAATAAACAACTGCAAATGTTGACAACAAACATGAATTTGTGAGCGCGCAGCAGAAAAATCAACCACCCGTTCGGGAAATTTGTTGCCCATTGCCGAATCTATTCATTTGGCGACATTATTAGACTCCCTCTTGGGCCCCTCGCCTGCTCGTTCCCTCTGACTACCCTTAACAATAAATACGACATGCAACTGATTTTCTATTTAAATGTTTTTGTCTCTTTCTCTCACACTCTGTCCAGCTGTAGCCCGTGTCCGGCCATCAATACTTGTCTGCGGCGCTAATGCACAAATCCTTTTGCACCCCGCGTACTGTGTGCCCCGTACCGCGTCGACTTCATTTATTTTCTGTTTAACAGCATTTAGGGATTTCCGTGCATTGTTATATTGCTCGATTCCAGTTTTGCACACCCCAAAATTATACGAAAGGCGCGGGGATGATTAACAATTTATTGTGCGACAGCTAACGTTGATACCCTTTGCGAATGGGCATTAGGTATTTATCGTTGGGTTTGTCATGCGTGGAATAAATCAAAGCATGCATATTGGCTTTAATATAATCGTGTTGGAATTGAAACTATAAATTTGAACATATTTTTGTATTATTTTAATTATTATGACTGATCAGATTTATTCAGCTTTAGCTGATATTTAGCAGAAGTGCAAAACCTAAGAACAACTTCTGTGGTTCGGCTTTACGATTCGTGTTTTTAGATTATATGTAAATACAAGAAATTACGTGCTTTATTTTTGAAATATTCGAATACATAGTACAATTTGTGTTGTTACTTTTTTTTTAGTCCAAGGCTAATGTCTTTTTTTATGTAGATTTCCATTCGGTAGGGTATTAATTCTGGTTTCTTGTTTCGGCTTCGTTGTTGGACTTTATTGTTTCAGCCATCGGCAACTAATCCCGTTCAAGTGCGCTGCCAACGCGCAAAGTCCTTTTAAGGCCCACAAATAATATCGTCCTTGCCTTTAATGATTTGTCTATGGATTAATTTGGCATCACAAAAACTTTTAGATACCTTATTTATTTGGTCTTTTGTCTAACTGACCACACAGAACTTTTTTTGGGCAAGCCTACAGAATATATTTTTTTAATTTTGAGGGTTGTGCTTTTAACGATACAAATTTTTGGTGTGCAGAGGCGTTTCAACAAATCAGAACCAAAAAAAAGTCAATTTATAGCACGAGCCAAAGCCAGAAAAGTCACAAAAAGCCGAAGGACCATGGCCGGCCCAGGCCGTGCCGGGCCGGGTTGGCGGGGATCAGGGTCAGGGCCAGGGGCCGCATCAAGTTGCCAATAAATCCGTAACGAATCCTTTGTCGAAGAGGCACGGTAACACGAAAGGATCTACGCTTCACTGCATTTCTGATGGACGTATCCGAGCGTAGCATATTGATGGCAACTTTTGCGCATTTTACGGATATTGCACAATTCCCTTTTTTTGGAAAGCGTTGACTCTTAATGCCAAAGCGCGAAAGAGACAGGGCCAGAGCCAGACTGAGAAGGAGAAAAGAAAGTAATGTAATATAAAATCAGTAAAAATGATTAATTACACAAACCGAATACCAAGGGGGCGGCGAGGGTCTGTGAAGGCGTGATACTCGAGTATTTTTGGGGTGCTGCCATTTTTTGATTGTTGCACTGGCAAAACCATTTTAATTGGCTTTTGAGCCATCGACAAAGTTGCCAACGGCCTCTGCTAATAAAGATTAATTGTTTTTTAAAAGCAAAAATGTTGGCAATGCAGCATACAAAAATACAACAAAAAAATATAAAGTGTAGACAGTCAGGATATGCCAGTTTATCTATGTCAGCGCACCACAGCAGCAACAGCAGCAGCAGCAGCAGCACGCACTCAATTGGAAGATTAAATGCAAGCCACCCGCTCCATGGTTATGGTAAGGTTGCCTCAGTGGCCGGCCAGCGCTTCAGACACTTCAGTGTTGGGGACGGCACTTTAATTTTATGTTTTTGCCATTGCCATTACAATGTGTTATTGTGCCCGGCAATATGTGTCCTTGATGCCAGCACAACCCACATTGCCACAAAGCTACGCGGTGACTGTCGACTGGCAGTGGCTACCGTTGCCCTCCACCAGAACCATCCACATTGCGATTCAAATGCGCCGCTCATCCATTTTTGCGTATGAATTGCAAAACGCCGCACATATTTCACGTTATTGTTTGCCTGGCTGAAACTGAAACTGGGCATGGGCTTGGTAAGACTAGGAGACGATGGGGAAGGGCGCGGGGGAATTGGTGTTGGGTGCCAGCGGCAGGTAACGCAGCCTTTACCCTCAGGCTATGCTTGTGGCTCTGCCTCCGCCATTCCAAGTCGTGCCACACATTTGATATATGTTTTGGTGTCGAGCATGAGTTAACTGTGTCACAGGCATCGTAAATTTTCGCAATGTTGCAGCGAGCGAGAGGGAGAAAGACAGCGAGAGCGAGCGAGAGGTCGGAGAGTGAAAGATAGAGAAAGGGTGAGCTGACGAGACCTGCAACAGTCAAGAGCTGAGTGCATTGAAATTGCTAGAAATAATCGTTAAATGATGAAGTCTTTGCCCCAGCACTCACACACACGCACACACACTTGTAGTTATATGAACTCGTGCTGTCTGGCAGATTCCAAATAATGATATATGCCTTTGGGCACATTTTTGGGTGGTTGCCTTAAATCAGAATTTAAGTGAGTTCTGTGCAGTGCAGAGATGCGTCTTCATTAGCATTGGCCACGTGTTGATTAATGTGTGACTAAGTGCAGTAGAATTAAAGAGAGAGAGCGAGATATTGAGAGAAAGAGAGAGTGAGAGGGAGAGAGAGCGAGTTAGGGAGAGTGAGGTAGGAAGGAAACATATTTAGTTGTAATTAGCTGCAGCAATTGCACTTTGAAGTGCCTGCCAACTGTGCGACTGTCAAGCCAGGCGGACATATCAACTGCCTTTTTGTGTGTATGTGCGGCTTTGTGTGTGCTTGTGTCTGTGTGTGTGTGTGTACGTTTGAGTAGCTGCCTGTCATGAAAAATGATACACAAAACGCGCTGCAGGCTCAAGGCAAACCCAAGTCCAGGCACAAAGGCACAGACTGTCACAGCGACAAGAACAGAGACAGAGACACATCGAGAGAGAGAGAGAGAGCGAGAGCGAGAGCGACAGGAAAAGAGAGAGAGAGGGGCAGAGAGAGATATAGAGGGATAAGCAGAGGCATAGGGACAGCTGCCTTGTCAGCCTTATGCCTTTGGGCCCTTTTGTTTTATGCCGCCGTTGGCCTTTGTTGTGTCGCTTGTCTGCCAACTGAGCCGAGAGGGGAAGTACTATACGCACACACACACACATACACACAGAGAAACACACACGAACAAGTATATATAGAGTATAATTTCGTTTAATATTGTTCATTTTATTTGTGTAATTGTTGTCGTCGTCCTTATCCAACCATGTTCGTCTTTGGTCCCGGCTTCACTTTCCATTTTGTGTTTTCTCTTTTTAGTTTTGCTTGTCAATTTTTCTTTTCAACTGAAATTTCATTGTGCCGCGTGTGGAAGATCGGTTTACAGTCGAAGAACTGGACAGAGTCGTGTGGGTATCAACACATTTTTGGCTGCCATTACCTTGTCCTGCCCAGAATCTTTTGCTGCTATTTCTCTCATTCGCTCTGCGTCTTTCCCTCTCGATGATCAGCCCTGTCATATTGTTGTACGTGGCAGCACCACATTTTGACATGACATTCTCAACTTTAATATATATTGTTTTTATATTTTATTTTATCTGATCGTGTGTCGTTTGCAGTCAGTTGGAAAATTTTTAGTGCGCCGTGTGGAGCTCTCGTTGGTTCGTAATTTTCATTAATGGATCGTCTTTTTATTTTTATGGCATATGCCACAAGCACAAATTCTAGACGACAGCCCAAGTTGATGGCGACAAGCTAATCAGGATGATGAAATTTCAATTTTTTTTTTCTCTCTTTCGATTACGATTTTTATTTTCTGTTTGCCTAATGTGTGTGTTTTATTTGAAATGTGAAATTCGAGCTACTCTCTGGCAGCGAGTGGCCCTCGTGTTGATGGTTTTTAAAGTAATGGGACTGGCATTGATTGGACATGTTTGCAGCTAAAGGTCTGACAGGTAAATAGATATTAAAGGCCGTCTGACAAATGGTCCATAAGGTCGCCAAGTAATTTCTTTGAGGAACCCATTAAGAAAGGTATCAAATTTTGCTCGACTTTGAATGAATTTTATCGGGCTTGTAAACTTATGAATGTGGTTTAGTTTTGCATCTAGATCGGCGCAGAGTCTCAGCATGATCATAGCGCAAATAGGCTCAAAACTTAGCCAAGGCCAAAGTCTTTTATACAGCTTTTCTATTCGAACTGGATTCTCTGGCCCCCTGCTGTAGCTTTTTAGACCAGCTGCCAGCCTCCTGTGGTGCGTGGTCGACCGCAACGCATATTGAAATCATTAATCAAGACCCACTTAAAGTTAAACGCTTACGAATTGTATCGCCTCGCACGATTTCAACGATAACGATTTCTTATTCTTTGATTTTTTTCTTACCTTAACTTTAATTTTTATTAATACAATGCCATTTGGCTTTACCGTTCCCATAAATTTCAATACGCATGCGCCTGTGACACAATGCGCACAAAACTTCCGATGAAATCTCAATAAGCCAAATGGCTGATCCCCATTCCTCCGGCCGCTTAGCTCCAGTTCCAGCTCCCGCCCTGGCTTCCAATTCCAGCCCAATACACACACACGCAAAACGGAATGTAAATTTTGTCGCTTCTCTGGAATTGATTTATATCTGTGGCACTGGCGGCGGCGGCGACAACGACGACGACGAAGACTTGGTGTACTCCACTCTACTTTATTATTCATTGGAAACACAAGTCAGCGACGATGATGATAATGAATCGGATGATGGGGCTGAGTCTGGGGCTGGGGGATGGCAATAATGATGCAGAGCATAGTGAAATTAAACAGAAACCGGCAAAAAAAGCAGCCGCTACACTCATAAAACTGACTCTAAATTCAAAGTTAAGGCAAAAGCTTTGAATTTCAATTAATTGGACTCTCCCCGATTGGCCAAATGGGCCTGTGTCTGTCGGCTGGGCTGTATTACGATTAAATGTGGGCATTTTCATTTTATGGGTTAATTGCTATTGTTCGGCAATCAGAGCCAATGCCAAAAAAGATGCTGTAAAAAATGTTTTATTTGCCTGCCGAACTGATTTATTTGATTTATGTGCCGCGCGGCAAATTGAAAAGGGCAGCAGAAGATGAACAAGAAGACGACCCAATGAAAGCAATCGAAAGGCAATATGACACATTGACAAAATGCTAAATATCCAAATTGAACAATAAAAGTTGTCGTTGAGTAACTTAAATACCCTGCACACAAAAAAGGCAGCAGGCTGGCTTAGAAGAAAAAAATGCTTTAAAATCCACCAAACTTAAAATAATTTAATATTTGTATATTTACAGTTGCAGATAACTTTAAAGGTGCTTAAGAGTGGGATAAAGCGAAAAGAAAGAAAAAAATAAGTAACTTTTTGCAGAAATGAGAAATTTCATGTTTTTGTCACACGAAAAGCTTTTAAAAGAACATTATGAATACAAGAAGGAGATAAGGTGACAGCGCCGGATAGAGCGAGAAAGTGTGAAAACGATAAGCGCATATATGGAGTAAAAGTATTTAAAAATACAATCGTCATACAAATCAATTTCAATATAAATATGCGTAATCTGTTTCTAAGCCTTTAAGCGAGACGTTGTACAGGGTATGTTGGAAATTTATTGATGCTCATTGTTGTTATTGCCAGTGCTGGCGGCGTTTCTTGTGACGGCATAAATTAATATTTATTAGCAAGTTGTTAGCCAAAGCTTAATAAATGAACGGGCCAAGAGCTGTCTAGTGCCGTCTTTATTCAAAATGTACTTTAATTGAAAGCCCAACAAAAAATTCGCATTCGTATATGCTATAGACTTTAATAAATGCGCATCGGGTAGAACTGTGTATAACAATGCGACAAGCTAATGGACCACAAATATTTTTTTAATCGCCACCCATTGATGGTTGACACTGACGATACGGGCATGAGAGGCAATAATGCAATTATTTTATCACAGGCAGTTGGTATTTTAATATACATATTTGGTTGGCATGCTGGTCAATTTCTTTTGTATTATTATTTTTTTGAAGCATGAGCCCTAAAGTCAAAAGCGTAATAACAATAATAATAGTAATAATAGTTGGATTCATAATAATAAAAATAAATTTGTGAAAATAGCCAGAAGCGTTCGGCTGGCTGGACCAGTAAATTGCCCGCCCGTCTGCATAAAAATTATAGCTGCATTTAAGTAATTGTTGCAACTGATGACAACGTCGCAACGTTCCATAGCTGCAGCTCCATGGCCATCGGCAACGCCATCGTCATCGCCATCGCCATCACCATCTCCAGTGGCAAGCGGCAAGTGCCTGTCAGTTGCATTGACAATGAAGCGTTAAAATACGCAAAAAATTGCATGCAGCCGGCTGCCGTAGCAGACAGAATGAGAGACAGTGGCAGGCTGGGTGGAGGAGGGGCGGACGGGGCCGAGGTAGTTGATCAACTGCAGCAGCGCGGCGACAAATTGGAGTAGCCCCGGACATGCCGGAGCGAGAGCAAAGAGCAGCAGCAGGAGCGAGCACAGCAGACGGTCATAAAACATGCAGCCCCTGCCAATAAAATTTTATTAAACGCCATAAAAATATTTATGAAATTGGCGCAAAGCGTCGTGTTTATTTGCCTGTTGTGCATTTTAAAATAACGCGAAAATTATGCGAAATATCTGACTGATAATGCGCCAAATAACAGCGCTAGAGCACAATATAACGAGATAGACGCAGATATCGTTGCATATACATAACTATTAGCTTTAATGTGCATTTGATTTTGATTGAGGCGAATTGCAAATGCTTTTAAGCCAATTGCAGTCAAAAGCCTATTTAAAGTCCGTTTTCATATCATATTCCTTTCATTTTTTGCTTAATAACTATCAAAATATCAATTGAAAATGTCTCATACTGTTCTTTAGTACACTTGCTTGAGCTTTAATTTAAAACTAAAACGAACTGATAAGACACATAAATGTTCATTTGGAAACAATTATCGATTTCCCCCGCACTCTTTGACTGAATATTAAGCCACGTCCTTTAAAATTTAATTAAGAATATCTTGTAATTATCAAAGAGCTTGCATTTAAAGCTCAAGGATACTTAAGCTCTAGTTGCGAGAACCTTGTAGTTTTAAAGAAATTCCATGACATATTAATGGCTTTCCCTTTATAAAATTATTCCGCACATTTCCACTCGCCTGGTTTTCATTAGCACTAACTTAGCGCAGGCTCAATTCAATTTCCAATTGAAAAACCAGAGAGCCGGGCCCACACACACACCCACAGACATATAGACACACACGAACCGCTGATAAGCTATCCTACAATTTGGCTATGCCCCATTTTGGCTGTGATTGCATTGTAGCTGCGGCACGCTTCATTGCATGCCAACATAAAGGTAAAAGGCGGCGGTTGGGTAAAGTTACCCACACACACACATGCAGAGACACACGTTTGCCATTGGCGGTGGTGCACCACTTTGACAGTTGAACGCATTTTCGATGCTTACTTATTTCATTTAACACACGCTCTCCGGCGGGGGTGTAGGCAGGAGTGGTTCAATAGAGAGAGGGGGTAGGGGGCGATTGAAATTGCGTGAGTGTTGCACGTGTCGCGCGTTGTCAACGGCAGTCGCGCAGAAGCCGCGAATTGAATGCCTGGGCACAGCATGTGGCAAGTTCGTTTGGTTATTGAGGTCTACCCAGGACCAAGTTAACAGGCCAAAGGCAGCATCAGCAGCAGCAGCCGCAGCAGCAGCAGCATCAGCCAAATACACTTCGCCCTTGCAACTGCCGACGGTTCAATACTCACACGCAATTTGAATTGACTAATCCAGAAAGCATATCTGACGTTTGCTCTCGCCTGTTACTAATGACTTGGCACTTTGCGCAGCACAACAGGACACCGGATGGCGGCACGAGCAGGGTGGCGGAGGAGGGACGAAGGATCCAATCGAATGCGTTTGTGCGGCAACTGTGGCAACCTGTGCGCTCTTATTTTCAGCTTTGCTGTCAGGCATTTGTCATATTTCTGTCAAATAAGCGCTTTTAATATTGATAGCTGCCGCTCCCGCAGCCGCTGCTGCTGCAGCAACAGTCGACTGTCAACAGGATGTTAGCTTCAGCGAGTTCCCCCAGAGAGAGTGTAAGAGCGAGAAAGAGAGAGAGAGAGAGAGGGCAGCGAGCGTGGGGCAGAACTTTAGCTTTTGCCGCCACAGCGCGCTGTGTGCAATCAGGCGTTTTATGTGAGCGGCTTAATGTGAATTTATTGCATTTCATTGGCACTGCGATTGGAAACGGGCGTGGAATTGGGTCTGAGACTGTCCATAATGAGCTTCAAATAAGAAATTTTCAAAGGGGGGTATACAACAGCAGCAGCAGCAGCAGTAATCAATAAAGACAAAACATATGCATATAAGATTCTTGCCTCGAGCGAGAAAAAAAAAAACTGTCGAAAATCAATACCCACATTGCTTGATGAACTCCATGATGATTATCGATGATGATGATGTTGTTGCTGTGTAGTTATAGGCTGCCAAATAAATATTATGAGGGCATATCGCACATATTTCATTGTTTAAACAATGGCGATATTATCGATGGCTTCGTTCCGCAGTTGTCGTTGCTGTTGCTGATGATGATGATGATGATTTATAATCGGCTGTTAAGTAAAGCGTAGCCCCGTTTGTTTGCATAACAAATTGTAGAAAATACACAACACAAATGTTAAATTACCGGGCATTAAACATTAAGCAGAAAACACGCTTAAAGCACAAAAAACGTATAAAAACATCTCTGAAGCCACCTGCGCTCTGGCCACCCGCTGCTCTGGGCCAGCGCTTAAACATGACCAAAAACAAAAAAAAGAAAAAGAGCGACAAAAAATAAAAAACAAATGATATAAATTTATAAATTTTTGACTCGACTTGTGCACAGCTTCAGGCACTGCCAATATTCACACACATTTGT